CCCCCCCCCAGTGCTGCAGCAGGAAGCCAGACCTGTGTGATGGTAAAAATCTAGTCGTGGCTTCATACAATTGCCTACAAGTGGCTTCATACTCACTTTTAGTTGGATTTGCACAAATGTCTGAAATCTGTCTGGGATGATAGAGAATGGTATTTAGGCTTCTTCTATGTGACACCTATTCAGATATTTGAAGAGTACTCTAATATGGTATCTCCCTTTCAATAATCTCTTCTCAAAATTAACCATGCTTAGTAACAATCATTGTTCTTCACAGGGCTTCGTTTCCAGGCCCATGAGTAGAAACTAAGTTGTTGCCCATTCCCAAATCTCTTTTCATTCATCTGAATTCTTAAAGTGTGACACCAAAAGTGGATATTCTTAAGGTGGTCTCTGATCAATCCCAAATAAAATAGAACAAGTCCTATGATTTGGAAATTATACTGTACAGAACTATGTTTATGTCATCTAAAACTGTGCTTGTCTTTTTCAAAGCCCCATCGTGCAGTTCACTCATATTTATATACTAATCAGCTACAGCCCCATGCATCTTATGAGCATCTAATCAATCACTTATAATTATTCATGTGATACAAATTAAATCAGCACATCTTGTGCATATTTTTAAAATGCAAGTACTGAGCCTAAGTCTTTAGCTAGGATTTGTCCATCATGACCTTTTCATTGTCTCTATAAAATGAGTGGCTAAACTGTGGGTAAATATCCCCAGAATGTCCTGCCAAAATTTGATAATAAAGCCACCAAATTTCAATGGAGTGATTTTGCATTTTTTGAAACCATTTTAAAGTACTACATTATGGTGCGACATTCCAATCTCAGGGGAAAAAATAACATGACAAACCCTGCAGCCTAAAAACTCCAAAATAAGAAAAATGCAATCCCCAACCACAAAGAGATTGCTGAGCCCTACCACAAAAGATGCCTCTTATTTTTACTAATGTGGATTAAAGGAGGCTGCTCACAAAAATGGCTTCACAAAGTCATAAGACGCTGAATTTTTGCTTGTAATCACAAATTCATCAAAGTTTATATCACTCTCTGGAATAAAGGCCGAAACACAAACTTCAAAATGTCAGCTTCTTTGACTGGTTATCAGGACATCTTGTGTCCCTCAGCCTCCCTAATTCTGGCTGTAAACTAGCCTTCCAGTCTGAGGGCCAGCTAAAGTTTCTGAGATGTTGCCTCAGAATTGCACCTTCCAGAAGTTGGCTTGTGTGATACGAGTCTTCCTTAAGCCCCAAGAATGCTGGGAATTGGATGACACAAAACAGAGTGGCCCTAAGCTGCAGCCCTTTTCCTAAATAGGGATCAGTATAGCATAGCGATAGCGAACCTTTTGGGCTCGGCGTGTCAAAAATTCGGAAAACGCCTAACTTGACTCTGCTGGCATGTCACACACACACACACACACACACCTGAACAAAAGAGAAACAATTCTTTACATATTCATTTATTTTTTAAAAATACAGTCCAATCATATGTGGTGCTACAGTATGTATTATATAAAGAAACATACAAAAATGAAATACGAATAAAACAAACTCAGTTTCTTTGGTAACTCAAACAAGGAGAATAGTTGTTGTCGGGTGTTGGTGAACGCTGGAGTGTCACCCAAAACATTGTGGCGTGTCACCTTTGACACCCATGTCATAGATTTGCCATCCCTGGTATAGAAAGACAAGGAGTTTGCACAAAGGTTGGAAGAAGCATTGGGGCTGGGAGGGAGATCTGCCAAGTTTTCTGCTCTGCTTTCAGGGCAGAGGTCTGTTGAAAGTGTGAACAGAAAGGAGTTCCTGAGGAGAGAGGCACTGTCTGAGACAGGGTTTGACCATTGGCGGCCAGCAAGTTTGCAGAAAACTGCAATTCTGTGACCTCTGGAAAATTTGTATAGATCTGACATTCTCTTGGAGATAATCATGTCTGTGCTGAATTTTTCACCGGCCTTCACTTGGGGCCTGCCTGCATGTTCCAATGATACCCGACCTTGTAGCAAACTCATAGCTCCTTAGATAAGACCTAAAAATGACACTGTTATCAGCCCAGCAGATAGATGTCAAGGGTCTCCGACAATGACAAAACTTTCTCTTGTAGCCCCAAGAATTTATGAGGGTTATGGAGAAACATGCTAAGCTCTTTGAAAAGGAAGGACAAATACATGGAGACTTGGCTTTAATTGTCTATGGCTATTACACAAAGCCACAGAAATACCTGACTTTTCAGACTGAACTAAATGTAGACGATGATAAAGGCAGCAGTAAGGACCTGGGTGCTGGGTTCAAATTATGTCTATTGTTACAGCTAAGCAAAAATAAGTGTGAGTACCCCCACCCCAGCCCTTCTCCCTCTTCAAAAATGACTAGCGGTGTTTAAGTGATAGGATATAGATGGGGACAAACTAGCAAAGAAAAAATTCACAGCCACTCAGAGCAATAAAAGGAAAGAGTTTTTTTTCAGTGGCTCTCATAATTGCCACATAAGTGACTGACAGGTTAAGCTTAATACTTGGTCCAAAGATTTTTTAAAAAAACAGAAAAGTACATCAATTCTAAACACATGCTTTGCAGTAATAATCACACTGGATTGTACAAACAGTAGAGATCAGGTGAAAAGGATTGAATTGCTTGTGGTGAAGAAAGTTGGGGGAATCCAGCCATTGGATTTTCAGTCACAATATGCAAGATGGGGTCTATTTCAAAGTAAATGCCCATAGGAATTTATTGCAAATTATTTTTGCTCATGACATCTACAAATGAATGAAATAACTCTTATGTCAAACTGCATTGTGCTCAATTGTCAAAAGCAACAGAAATGAAGAGGACATTTGAACCTCAAGGTAGCCAGATACAGTACTGAATCCTGGGGAAAAAATAATGCAATTCACTCCTTGCTTACTCCAAAGTAAGCTTGAATGTATTAAGTGAAGCTTATTCCTGGGAAAACATCCATAGAATTTTGATATAGACATATATAATTCTCATTTTTATAATAGTCCTGTACCTTGTATTGTTCAAGCTATGTTTGTTGAGATGACAAAAATTATTTTAATAATAATAAAATGCAAAGTAAGTGCTTTGTATTACAGGTAGTCCTTGTTTAGCAACTGCTTCATACAACAACTGTTCGCAATTACGATGGTGATGAAAAAATAACTTTGTGACCAGTCCACAGATTTATGACCTTTGCCAGTCTGTAAAGCAAAGGAAAGCTGAAGTAAGATCATAATAAGCACAGTTGCGGTTTAACTTAACAATCACTTCGCTTCATGACTGAGGTGCTGGTCCCAATTGTGGTTGCTAAACAAGGACTACCTGTACTGTTCCGATTCCTCATCTATCATCCTATTGAGTTTGCTGCTGCGACTCAGGATTTTAAGCCTCGAACGGAGAAGGAAATATATAGTTCTTTAAAAAAAAAAAAAAGGCATTCCAGACATTTTTAGTCAATAAGAAGAATACAGTATTTGCTGATAAGTATCACAACACAGAAGCCTTTCCATATACAACCCAATGTATCTTCCTCCCTCCCCTGCATTTTCCCAAACAGCGGGAACCTAGGTTTTATGTGAAATGCTATATTTTTAACATTGTTCTTTTGGGAAACAAACCGTCTTTCCACAGCCCCTGAGGGCATTCCATTTTCTCCATGACCCTTGTTTCCTAGGTTCACTGTTCAGCTTTGTAATGTCCTGAAACCACAGTCATGACAGCATCAACAACTATCCAACCCCCCACCCCCGTATCATCTTCTTGAATACATTCTGGTGTTTGAGTATGTCTTCTTTCAATAGTAGACAATATCTGTAGCTCAGGGTTGAACTCTTGGGTTCTTGATGTTCTCTGAGCTTGGTTGTTTTCCTGCAAATGTTTTGTTACCAAGCTAGATAACATCAGTGCGAGGGAGAGTAGGGTCTGCTGGCTGTTTATGTACAGTAGCTTGCTCTGCCAGAC